GATTATTCTAAAATAATTGGAGAAGGACCTCCTACCCTATTTGGTACTCTGGACCTGCAGAAAATTGGAAAAAAAGAGCTCGGCGATAATAATTTGACGCTCCCGACGTCATTCGTATATATGTATTGTGTAAAATGACGTTTTTCGTACCTGTAACAAAATGGCTACATTCATATTGATGCTTGCATTTATTTCATGTAGATGATTACCGTAAAAATTATGTTATTATCTAATACGGTATGAAATGTTCTTTCAAGATACAGTAATGATTGGTATATATATATATATATGACATTAATTTATGTATATTTGATATGTACATGTAACTGAGACATATTAAGTAATAGTACAGCGACTCGTATGTGCATAGCAAAAATGGCTACACCTAACAAAGCCTTACTAATATTTACGTATTAGCAGTAATATGACATGTATCAACATAACTAATTTTAGAAACATATGTACTTAAGGATTATTCATCAAAATTTATCTTTGTTTGGCATTTATGTCTAGTACACATCGCCATGTGGACTAATGTCAACTTTAGGAAACGACTTTTTTTCTGTTGGACATTTTACTTACGCATTGTAGATTCAGCCCGAACTCGTGAAATTGAGAAAATGATATTAAAAATTCAACAGTATCACAAAGAATGCATACATATTACTGTATTTCCTAAATTTCATTTAATTTAGAGGATTGGAAGTGGGTCTTTTTATATATTGTAGTTGCGCGAACAATAATTTATGTAACGTTGGACACGGGAATTTCGCCGAAATAAGCAATAATGAATAACGCCATACCACAACTAAACTATTTTTAGATTATTAAAAAGATAATTTTTAGAATAATTTATTACCTTGGATAAAATAATTAATTTCATTTTTAATTTCTAGTAACTTTAACATCTCGAAAACGCCAGTTTCTTTACGACATCTAAAGAGCCAGATATTATAGTACCAACACCGTGCGCAACGTCTGTACGAAATTTTCGTATGCATTAAAAAAATCGCGTTATGACTGAGCATAGGTTATTACATTTGTATTCATTCTGATATTAAAAACTTGCATTATGATCGACATAACTTATATCCAAATAATGCTGACAACAAACAACATATATATTTTTGCTTGTACATGTAAGTACAGAGTGAAATTGGATAAAAATTACCATGCGCGGATCTAGAGGGGGGTCGGGGAGGGGGAGTCATAAAAAATGACTTTACCCCCCCCACCCCCACCCCCGGCGAAATGGTTATTTTTTTCACGTTTGTTAATTGACTTTAGGTGGTTTTTTTTTGCTTTGTTTTTTTTTTGCTGTTTTTTTTTTTCGTTTTATTTTGTTTTTCTTTTTTGGATTGGAATTTTTTTTTGACTGGGTTGGACCCCCTCCGGAAAAAATTTCTGGATCCGCGCCTGATTACTGAATATTTTATTCACAATTATACGTTAACTCCAATCCAATTTTTTCCTGTACTTGCAAGCAAATTTATGACAAACTTAGGGTAGTGTGGTTCATAAATAAAATGTTAAATCCATGACTTTTTCTCCGAAGTAACAGACTCCAGGAAAGCGCTTTTAATCTGGTCAAATATACCATTGATAATACTTGAATCGATTTCAAATATGCCATAAAACTATTTTTTCAGTTTTTTTGTGTTCTACATCTACGGGTAGATCACTGCATGCATGTATAACTGTATTTGAATTATTATATATACAGTCCTATGTGTGTGGTGTAAATAGAGGATATTCAATGTTTTGCAGATGAATATTGAATTTATTTCACTCGTGAGACAGGATTTTTTGATATTTTCACTCGTGCTTCGCACTCGTGAAAATATCAAAAACTCCTGTCCCACTCGTGAAATAAATTCAATATTCATCTACAAAATATTGAATTTTCTGTTTATTACATTTTTTTTTATTTTTCCCTTTGCCTCTGTCTTTTCTTGACACAGTGTCATAGGCTTAACATCATAGTTGAGTGGTTGAGATGTCATAGCTTACCAGTTGTGAGATTGAAAACATTACATAGCATAGATTTTAGCAACATATTTGGGAAAAAATTTGCAGTTTTAGCTCTATTAAGATGGTTAGTTGCTATATCTTATGACAGGCCAGAAATTATGTTTTACTTACTTTGATATCCTTTCACACTGTGAGAGAATATCATTTTGGTATCCTTTCACACTGTGAGAGAATATCACTTTTATTCAATAAATAAATCACAGTATTTCACTGTTGAAAATGTAATAAAAAAACATACAGTGCAGTCACTGTCTCCCTTTATATCGTTCTTATTATAAGTTTCCGTCTTACATAACTATATTTAAAACATGATTGTGACGTAAACCATTTGTTTGTGTTGTCGATTCTATAGCTTAATGTTGAGCTCACTCCTCAAACAATCCATTAAGTTACCTGTAAGTGTCCATTCTTTTCGGAAAACTGTCCATTCTTTTAAGAATGGACAGTTTTTTCAAAAAGAATGGACAGTTTAAACAAACAGAATGGAGAGTTACAGGTAAACTTTGGAATGTGTTCAAGAGGGAAACAAAAACAAATGTATTAAATACTTTTTAATTTACATGTAAATAACAAAAAGAACGCGGAGACCAAAGTTAATCCAGAACACAATGTCTACACAACATCCATTCGATTTTACTCTTCTAAATCCATGAATGATGCAGACTATTTCAATACCCAAAACTTAATTTTCACAAAACTTGAATTTAAATGACACAATTTCACATTTGATTTAAATTTCGGAAAAATCATTCCCTCGAGGAGAATTTATTTTCAGATAGAAGTGCGTCTAATATTAAATCCTCCACCCAGAAAACAGTTTGCACTATGAACACTGCACTGCTGCAGTCAATATTAATTACGGTAGAAAATAAATAAAAATGAAACATTTCCCGATTTGATTTGAAAAACATTTCAGGTCGAGGATTGGCTCATGGCTAATCCAACACTCAGAACACAATTTGCATCTCACCATTACACTGCTGCAGTTAATATATCCTCAGAAATAGAATTCAAATAAAACATTTCCAGGTTTGATTTGAATTTGATCATCTGTTTCTGTTGTCAAAGTTCATTTTTGGGTCAAAATTTGGCTAATATTTCTTTTAATCTTCCTTTTCTGTTTCCAGATCCAAATATCACTAATTTTGTGCATATTTTGGTTTAGAAGATATTGATTCTGTCATATACTCTCTCCATCACAGGAAAACATGTATACCTTTACAACACAAACTGTAAACTGATTTTGAAGCATCGCATACTTGTATAAATACTAGTATCCCGCAAAATCCACCTGTAACTGTCCATTCTTAAGACAAAAACCTTTTGTTTTTGCATCTGGAAACACAATGGCTTATTCAACAAATTGCTCTGCATCCCTAGCTTACCTGTGACTGTCCATTCCGTAAACAATGAACTTGCCATTGTATGTGTGCTACCTGTCATTTTGTACATTTTATATTTAATTTTCAAAACAAAGGAAATCATGTTTTAAGTAGGAGAAAAGCCTCAAACTGTCCATTCTGTGAGAGAAAGAACTAATCTCGGGCCTACGGCCCTCGATTAGTTCTTTCTCTCACAGAATGGACAGTTTGAGGCCTTTCTCCTTTACAGAGAACATTTCACGAAAAATCAAAACGCATAACTTTGACGTTTATATTTGCGAAAGTTTTACGTTTTATTGCGAAAGTTTCGTGTTAAAGTGAAAATTACGTGTTATATAACACAATTTTTTTCTTCAACCTTGGCAAATCAAAATTTAAAAAATAGTGGAAATTAAAGAAAATACACTTATTCTGCCACGTATGGCTTAATGGCCAATTTTACCGAAAATAAAAGCATTATACAGTGTATGTATGATATATATGTACCTGGTATATCATTATTTAAGGTAGGAGTATACTGTTTACAGAAAAAAGATCTTCTCAAGAATAGTAAGGCCGTGATGAGTTTTAATATTATGCAAGCATCCTCAGGTTATGCAGATTCAAGTTTGTTTGTTCAAATCATGGTTGGTCACCAATAGGGGATCAAAGTTTTATACAGGAATATGTTAAGAAACGTCTTTAAAAATCTCAAGAACATTAAAAAGCAACTTCATTTTGTTTTCCAATATGAATTTAAATATGTATGACATAAAATATTATTTTCATATATACTAGTACGGTAGTACCCCATATTTTCAATTTTACGTTGTGATAATAAATTATTTCCCTTTATATTCACTGTGTCAAAATTTCCTTCATATCACGGTTTGACATATTTATTTCTGGAAAAAAAAGTAAGCAATGCGGAATACTCCATACTTTTCCATTTAAATCTACTGCTATTGGTTTTGATGAAAATCAATGCTGGGGGAATGTTTTGGGGGAGGGGTGAAATTTAGAGCGAAGGGTTAAAGTTTGCAATGTAGCTAGAAGAGAAATTTTGAAAACCAACATGGAGCACGTGTTTGTGATATTAAATTAGCATGCTTTGACATTTATTCGGAGTGGACAATTGTTCTCTGTAAGCAACCATGTGCAAAAATAATAACAATAGCCATATGTACATGTACCAAATGTAATGTAAATTCCTCGGACATGCCTCTTCCTGTATGTTTGTACATTTATGAGAATAAAATCATTGTCATTGTCTATTACATTAAGAATAATCATCCATTATTTTCATTTATTAAAGAACAAAGGGTCACAAACTATGAACAAATTTCGCTGTTATAGGATCTAAAAAATCCAAACATAATGCAGTATTCCTCAAAAATACAACCAACTGATCTATTGGCTCTATTCCAAGGTGTCAATTTTTTTTCTTTTAATTCACTGAAGGAAAAGGGGGCACTGATCAGAGCCCTGGGAATTCATCCTTTTTATAAATTGTTCAAAAAAAAAAATGGGGCATAGTTTAATTAACTTACAACAATGCAGTTAGCTTTTATTTCATCAAAAGCATTCAAAACATTTACAAGTGAAAACTTGAAGAAATAAAAAGAAGATTTTATTACATGTACATGTACACTATCTTGATTTCAAGTTCCTCTAGCCAGTGAGCCAGTCTTGCTTTCTCTGTTATTGTTGTTCAGAAATTTTATTTTCAAAACAACATTTTACTAACAACAGCAATCTGACCCTGACACACTCACTGACTTGTGATACTACACGGTTTTCATCTAAAGATCTTCTGTATGATAGCAAGTCACAGCTGCACTATTACTGCAACTCTGTTGATATCAAACAATTGTTGATTTGTGTCTTATTGGGCTGAATGTCTTCTCTCAGTGCAGTAGTCTGTTGTACTCAGCCATTAGCTGAGATTTCTTTACAGCTTCAAAAGTTCTAGCTGCATAATGAAACCTATAAAACACAATAATGAAATAACACCTCTCAGATCGGTAAAGATGAAAAAGCCTGGATATAATAATAAACAAGAGATGTTTGTGAAACACTTGTGCCCCCCCCCCCCCAAAAAAAATTGGAATTTTTCCAAGTTCAAGGAGCATAACTCTGTCAAAAATTGATCGATCGTACCCAAAACAGAACTTGACCTAAATATTCTTATGATATATCTGTATACCAATCTTCATTTCAGTATGTGCAACCTCTGCGAAGAAAATGAATGGAAACTGCAAATAATTGGAATTTTTTAAGTCCAAGAGGCTTAACTCTGTCAAAAATTGATCAATCGTACCCAAAACAGAACTTGACCTAGATATTCTTAATATGATAAATCTGTATACCAAATTTCATTTCAGTCTGCGAAGAAAATGAACGGAAACTGTTGGCTAACGGACAGACATACAGACAGACAGCAGTAAAGCAATATGCCCTCCCTTCTTCGAAGAGGGGCATAACAAATACATATATTTAAAAACTAACAAACACATAAAAATTTCATAATGTTGGCATTTATACATACCAGTAACTAGTTACATGTGTAAGTTGATTAAGAGATAATTAAGGCTCTCTGGATTGATATTGTAGGGGTAATTGGTCAGTTTGTGAGATGTTAATTCCTAATTGTTAACTAGCCTGTCCTATACTTCTTTAATGATTTTAATTAAACGATTGTTGATTATATTGTGTACCTTTCCTTGTCTATGCTTTACAATTATTAAATGTACCTACCAATATATATGATTTAAAAAACATTGTAAATTATGGTACAGTTCATGCAGTTCTGATTATGATGACAGTGCAGAATGATTTTGTGTGCAATCTTGTCTGAAAAATTATCAATATATCTGATATTTTAGGCATGTTTCATGTTTTTCTTTTAAATTGAAATAAAATACATATAGTGTTCTGGTCAAATTTAAACATAATATTACTAACTCCTTTATTTGAATAGAGTTTACATGAAAAAAATATGTCAAGAAGTTTTTATACAATAAACCGATAAAAATTATATAAATCTCAAACCAGTGGGAGATTCTTTTTATCATGTTTTACACATGGCTATCACATTTTACACTGGTTTTATATCTGAATCCACTTCATTTGACTTCATCACTTTAACACAAAAGCCATTGTGATGTCACAAACGTAGACATGAAAACGATAACCATGAGCTATATCCACAGCATAAAGGAGTAAACATGTTATTGCAGCCCGGAAGACCGGGCTGCTCTATACATATAAGTTTAAGTGTTGGTATATGGGGATTGAGGTGGGAGAAGTTATTCAGAATTAAAGGTTTTCTAAACATTAAAAAGATTGTTAATCAGAATGGTCTTTCCCTTTATAAATTACGAGATACACAATATATTTACTTCCATAAAGTGAATCTGTAAAAATATATATGTTTTTCATATTTAATATATAAAGTTGCTTATCATTTACTATCGAAAAAACGACAGGTCCCCTTTTTTAGAACATCGAATTTTACTTATCGCATAAAAACGTAAAAAAGTACTTTACACAGTTCGTATTTTATATTCTTAGAGTGAAAGACATTTTTGAAAATAGGTGATGCATGTGTCTGGTTTCAATTTATATTTTATGCAGCCAACATTTACTTGAGGAATTGATAAAGTTTAAAAGGATATCATTTTTATTCGATTTTCATCCGACTATAAGTTTTCAAAATATTCTTGACTATCGTCTCCATCATTTAGACGCATGCCTTTTTCACACATATCGAAGCGGTTTGATGATCAAGACTCATTTCCGTTGTTTACTTTATTTATTTCCCGGGCGACAATTGAGGGTTACATCAATGTTTTCTTGTAAATATATATACTAGTATTGTCAACGAGTTTTAAGGACGAGACATACATGCAATTTCCTATTGTTAAAGTACAAAAAAGGGTATTCCTTCACTTACCAGTTTTTCTCTGACAATGTTGTGTGGGTTAGATTATCCCTGGGCATGGAATACACTTGCTTCCTGAGTCCATTGACCAGTGTAGTGACACTTGGGTAACCTCTGTACTCTGGTAATAGGGTCAGTACTGTGTCTGAAGTAGGACAAATCAGTAAGACCATATACATTGTAACAGGTTTTTTCTTCATATCACAACTTTCGCAAAAAAAAAAAAATTTCCAAAAAACTTACAGTTGAACTTCAGTATCTTGAACACTGATATCTCAAATACCATGGATATGTCCAAGTGATTTGTAAGTCCCATCCCAACTACTCATTCTTTAAGTATTTTACCCTTGATATCTCGAATCCTCGGATATCTTGAAGTTTTTTCTTGGTCCCATTGAGTTCAAGATAACAAAGTTTGACTGTCTTTTTGCTTTGCATAGGCCTATTTTTGTGATTCTCCTTGTGATTTAACAGCATACATGATGCAAAATCAACAGTTTAATGGGAGTTTATTTCATTTTTGCCATCTAAAAATGCTTGCAAAGAAAGCAAAAATTGGTTCATCATGGAAAAAAGAGCTTATATGTACATGTAACTACATTTCTCTAATACTTGCTCTTGATAGCTGCAAATCTACTTCAATCTACATTTACCAACATTATGCAACCAACTGATGTTTAATTATAATTTACATCTTGTTCATCACTAACCATGAGATTCTTTCTTATTATCCATATTTGGAAACAGATATAAGTTAATGTCTGTTGGCTGATGTTTTGGTAACCCTGACAACAAATTTCCACTTGCCATTGACACTTCCCCTACAAAACATAAACAAAGCAAGGACTGTGACACCAAGGGAGATAACTTCAAATGGATCATTAAAAATTGATACCACTGGTACCTTTTAATTTCAGTTTTGAAGTCTCTAGCATCTTAGACAATGTTGATTGCATGGCCTGGTATGTTTCCCTGCTGAAATGATCTCTGGTACATTTGTTCTGCACAAAGACTATAAATAATAAAATTATTTGATTAACCAAAGAGTGTATGTAAATCTAGTTTATTCTTGAAATCATAAAATAAAATAATTGACTTCTGAAACATCAAAATTTTTTCATATTGGAAAACCAAAGGAAAATAAATTTTTGAAATTCATAAAGTGAAAATCAAATTTTCAATGTTAATTACCTTGAAGTTTGTAATTTTTGCAGCTCAAATTTTAGTGATTTGATATTTTAAAGAACATTCAAATTTATGCAGTTGCAATTACATTGATGTGAAATACCCAAGTGGTTGTAAAAAAAAAAATTCTGTGATTGGAAATTCTGTGCCAAAACTGGACATGTGCAAAAAACAACTTGTAATTTGGTATGTTAGAGGCTCCTTATTATTCATAAAGACATATAATTATCAAATAATAAAATTAAATTTCAAGCAGCCCAGGCAACTACAATCTCTCTGAAATGTTTTTCAAATAAACCAACCAATTCTTGGGTAGTAATCATTAGTGTCCTCGGATCCTGATGAACTATCGTGACTAGATGAGGGGGTGGATGGCTTCAACATCTCAGCTGTCTGTAAAAATCTGTGGAACAGTCAATTCTAATGAATATATGTATATGAAAAAAGCTAGTGAGATTGACCTTCACATTTTCCTTTAAGTTTTATAATGATGTACCTAAGGTTGTTTGCATAATGAACTACAAAAGCTACAAATCGGAAGCAATATGTACTTCAATTGTTCTCTCATTTTTTTTACTTAATTTTTACAATATTTGGATGAAAAAAATAATGTTCCCTTCTACTTTTTATGCCAATTTTTCTTAGCATAATCCTGGTTCAAATATGTATATCTGGAGGACTGAGAATCAATCCAATTTGTTTGAAATTAAGTAATAAGGTTGATGTCTATGAACCAGTTGTGAACAACTCACCTGATAAGGTTGATGTCTGTGAACCATTGTGAATAACTCACCTGATAAGGTTGATGTCTGTGAACCAGTTGTGAATAACTCACCTGATTATGTTAATATCTGTGAACCAGTTGTGAATAACTCACCTGATAAGGTTGATATCTGTGAATTGATTATGTTAATATCTGTGAACCAGTTGTGAATAACTCACCTGATAAGGTTGATATCTGTGAATCAGTTGTGAACAACTCACCTGATAAAGTTGATATCTGTGAATCAGTTGTGAACAACTCACCTGATAAAGTTGATATCTGTGTCCAGTTGTGAATGACTCACCTGATAAGGTTGATATCTGTGAACCAGTTGTGAATGACTCACCTGAAAAAGTTGATATATGTGAATCAGTTGTGAATGACTCACCTGATAAGGTTGATATCTGTGAACCAGTCTTGAACAACTAAGATGATGTGACACACTGACATCATAAATGCTGCTTGGTGCAGGGACTGAAATAAAAACAATTATAGCTACTTAGTACATATATACACAGGGCAAAATTTAATACAAATCATTGCCAAAGACAGAAATTTTAAATGAGAAGCAGCGCATTTTTTAATTTAAAAATTATTTCTCTTCACAGAGAGATGTTTTCCTTAAGGTAAGTCCTGTATCAGTACAGCCCTGACATTCAGTATCAACACACTATGTTTAAATTGTAAAGAGAAGCTCTTTCCTCAGTCACCTGCATTTCCACACAGTTTTCAGCAGTGCTGTATTCTGGAGGGATCTTTTTCTCTTGGCGAATCATTTTGTCAAGAACGGATGGGCTCATAATTGGCTGGGAAAAAAAAGAATTGTATGCATGGAGAGCTAAAAATAGTGTACATAAAATTACTTTACCTCTGTATTCATTTGTCAACTTTGAAAAAAAATATCAAATTTAGACTGTATTTAGAAACAAATCTGTTTTATTGCATCTCATTTGTAATGTTGTTCTAAAAAATAAGGTAACAATCAAATGTTTATTTATAGAAATGACAAACCTGAGAATCTAAGAATATGGTTCTCTCTCCTGTAACAAACATGTTAATCCCAGTGGTTTGGTGTTCACATAATTCTTTACAGTCTCTACTTTGTGGTGGAAATATGTACTGCCTGTCCAATGAAATACATTCTAATTTTACTGTCCAATCAAAACTTACATGTATCTGAGTGAATATAAAGAACAGAGTATATTTTATTCTCTTCTTTATATGTACTAAGAAAAGACTACATTCAAGTGACTCCAAATTAAATAAAAGCCAACTATTAATGGAATGATCTCTTCTTAACCTTGTAAGTAATTAAATTGATAAATGCTAATTATCTGAATATTCACAAGGGTTGCAAGAGGATCACCCAGTTTCTTCACAGGCTAAGGAAAGATTTTTAAACAAAACACAGCACTTATCTTAGACTACTAGAAAATAAAGCAAAACTAAATGTTTTTTTCTTTTGCAGTTCATGACAAGTTCAATATTTTGCTTGAATGTCTGTCAGTTGGATAGAGGTTTTGCAAACCAGCTGGATATAAAATAATTAAATCACAAACCTCATTTAAACACTAGGTTACCTTAATTTAGGACAATATACCAATTTATTTTCATCTACATGTATGTTGAAAAAAAAAACCAACAAACAAAATCACATCTTGTTTCAACTACTGAAAACTACATACATGTATAATGTACATTATGTTTTATTTGTGAGACTTTTATTTAAGCATAATTTTGTGAATTTGTCTACAGATGAAGATAAAACACTGAAATTTCACAGATTTAAGACAGTTTAGTCAGTGATTACAAAGTGCTCTATGATAAAGGCTTACATCATTTCACTGTTTGTCCAGACTATCGGTGAAACTGTTCTACTGGATGTTCTCACCTTATACTGTCTGTGGGGTTATTTCCTGCCAGGAGAGATAAAATGGTGGATTTTCCAGATCCCTGAAGTCCAAGAACTCCCACTACAAAGAAATCTGTTTGATCCAGTAAAACCTAAAAACAGAATGACATAAAACCTATATAACAGAATAAAGTTAAACCAACAACAGAGTGAAGTAAAACCTGTTACAGAGTGAAGTAAAACCTGCAACAGATTGAAGTAAAACCTAAAAACAGAATGACATAAAACCTATAACAGAATAATGTTAAACCCACAACAGAGTGAAGTAAAACCTACAACAAAGTGAAGTAAAACTTAAAACAGAATGAAGTAAAACCTACAACAGAGTGAAGTTAAACCTACAACAGAATGAAGTTAAACCTACAACAGAATGAAGTAAAACCTACAACAGATTGAAGAAAAACCTACAACAGAGTGAAGTAAAACCTACAACAGAGTGAAGTAAAACCTACAACAGCGGAGTGAATAAAACCTTGTTCACAACTCACTAAAATTAGATACTTTACAACACTGACAAATGTTATCAAAATCTCCCGCATGTGGTAAGTAATGTACTGACATATATTAGGTGACCAAAATCGTGATATTAAAGATGGTGATATCAGCAAAATGATTCTTACTTCCATCCCTGCATCACTCCATTGATGAGAGTCATCTACAATCCTTATGCTTTGGTTCATTTCTAGAGGAGCAGATAGTCGGCTTGATCCTACAGTGATATAATTACACAGAAGTTAATTTTAATTATTTAATTAGTAGGTTTTGATTAAAATGTATTTTGTAATCATGATGCAATTTCATTGAGTTGAAGGACTATGCACCAAGTTCAACATTAATTGTATAAATTTCAATTGCACTAACCATAAAATTTTGCACCTTCAAATAAAAATTTTATGGTACTTAAATCCTATTTTAGGAAATAGCTCATCATTATACATGCATTTACATGTATTACCATTAAAAGGTATTTTCTTCCACAAGCTTTTTTTTTTTTTTTTTTTTTTTTGCAATTTTTGGAGATACGACCAAAATGGCATAGTCTTGACACTGATTTGCTTTTTATCTTTGAAAACAACATGTATTTCTGTGGCATAAAGGAATTTGTTAAATGCCAATTTTGCCTTCTCTGATGGAATATAAATGACCAAAGCAATCAAATTATGTAAACATGCAAACATAATTGTTATGTATACATGCACAATTATTTCAAAGCCACAATAGTCAAAATGTTTGAGACTGTTTTTACAATTTTTTTTGTTATAAATGTTAAGGTAGTTTCATGTTTAGTTACCATCTGTTTTTATTTATGTAGCTCATAAATTTTTTGCTTTAAAACCCTACTGGCCTTGTTTTTACAATTCTTCAATGGCTGTATTTAGAATGTTTGAAAGTCATCTAGCATACAGTGTCAATGTACCACTTAACTTTCACACAAAATATTTCAAAGGTCAATAATGAGTGATGGCTAAAAAAAGGTTTTGCTTTTAGAATACAAAAGGCAAATAGTAGGTGTGTATGTATGAACAAGTAGAATGAGCAGTCATATGTCAAATTTTGAAAATTTTACAAAAGTCCTTTAAGTAATTGTTTATATGGAATATATTCAGAAAAGAATTACACAAAAACATTCAATATATTTTACCATCAGTCTGGACAATGCCTACAGGTGTTCGATGCAAGGCTGAAGGAATCTGAGATGGAGTTGTTTCCCCTGCTGATACAGTGGCTGTGCCTGAAGAGAATGACTCATCTCTGGGTCTTATTGCCATGACAACAGGTTTGTCTGGCTTGCTTGTGGTGGCTGTGGATGATGGGCTTGTACTAAGAGCACCTCCACCCTTAGAAAGTATATTAAAATCATGTAAACTCAAATGACTTAAGTGTAAAATAAACTATTAAAAAATCTGTAATTTGGTTTAAGCAGAAACAGAAATATAAGGGATGTGCTAATATTCAAAATCTCAGGACATACAGGTATATGCTGGTGCTATTGCATAGTATATTTTTGAATTCCTGCACTGTTAATTACTTATGTTATCAAAATTAACACAGATAATGAAATATATACTTTTAAATCCTATCAATGATTTATATTCATGACATTTTATTTTTGTAAGTTTATTTAAAACAATATCTAAAGAGCAGTTTTGAAAGGCAATAGGTAGCCCTGTGGTCACAATTTCTTTGAGATTTTGCCAATTTCTGATTAATGCCCTCTTTGATTTGGCTAGTTTACTTCTGTTAGTCAATGCATCATATTATATCATATTAAAACTTTATGAATCCTACACTCATATATGATATAATTTAATTAAACTTCAGTTAAAATCAAAATATAAAACCAGTAAAGGAATAATGCTAGGCCCTGCTAATATTTTAGCATATAAAAAAAAATTTTAATTGCAGAGTTGGGAATCTTCGTTATAATTTATGTCTCTGGTTCAAAAATATTTATCAAGACAAATATCAAAATTATGAAAATTCAATTAAAATAAATGAGTTAAGAAAGAAAGTGTGAATAGCCAAACAAAATTGAAAGGCCTAATCAGTACAATCATATACAGCAGATGCAATCATATGTTATATAATTATCATATGCAATTTTAATCGAACCGAGTCCAGTGCAGAGGGTTTGGCCAATATGATAGTTGGCTTTGATGACTGGTAATCCCCATCATATGTTTCTCTTTCAATCTGTAAAAAGGAAACAATAGGATACATAAAATCTTCATGGCAGGTTCATTAATTTTATTTCTTAGTCATTAAGTGATTGTACAGTTGTAAACCTTTCTGTTGCCGCTATTTGGACCACCGCCTCTTCTCCTGGGTCGCCTTCTACCTCGATCTCCTCTTTCTGGGTCAGACATAATTCCGTTTTAACTTCAATTCGTTATATTAATCAAATTCTCTCCAATGCCAAGTTATTTTAATTTAAAAATTATTAGTCTCCACTGGATGGCAGACTGGATCTGGACTAGATCTACTTTCATTTAACAAATTTGAGTACCTCGAACCCGATAATTATTATATCCCTGTATTCTATGCCAGGCGGATGGGTTTCCAACTAAGATGCATGTCTATAATTAAATATAAAAAATTAATATCTGCTAGAATAATTTGAGTAATTTTTATTTTCTGTGATAATGATACTCCCCTCTTTTTCTCTCGTGGTACTAGTATTTATTACATTTTCAATAGTGAAATACTGTGATTTATATAATCATCTATTGAATAATTTAGTGATATTCTTTCACAGTGTGAATGATACTAAAATGATAATCTGTCAAAGTGTGAAAGGATATTAAAGTAAGTAAATAGAGAATATTCAATGTTTTGTTGTTGGATATGGAATTTATATCACGTGTGGGATAGGATTTTTTTTTTTATATTTTCACGAGTGCGAAGCATTCCGATGAAAGGTTGTTAATGAAATCTCAATCAAATCTGAAAATGTTTGATTTAATTTCAAGTTTTGGGTATATATAAACTTCAGCAGTGAGATATTGTGGGGAAAACTGAAAAAAAAAATCCGTTGACAATTCAGTGTGTAAATAATGACCTAACAATAAGTATGAAAAACGTCAGTCAGCATTTGACTTAATGATAGATTATATTTGCCGACAAGGTCATTGTATCGACCATAGAACTTGCGAAATGATTACTTTGAAGGAGACCGTTGATATTCTTTTTTCATCAACTTGTTTGTCAAAAGCTTGATTCGTTTCAGAAATTGTTCGTTCGTATGCCATGCACGGATCTAGAGGGGGTCGGGGGGGGGGGGGGTCGGGGTCCGGACCCCCTTGGAATTTGCCAAGTCATTCAAAGTATAAACTAAAGCAAATAAAAAATGACTTTGAACCCCCCCCCCCACCTTAGAAAACGTGGACCCCACCACCACCACCACCACAAAATAAGTATTTTTTACGTTTGGAAATGGACTTTACGGGTTTTTTTCTGCTTGTTAATAAATTTCTGAATTGGAATTTTTTTTTTGACTGGGTTGGACCCCCCCCCCCCCTGGAAAAAAATTCCTGGATCAGCGCCTGCATGCTCTTGCGTATCGAATCAACTGAGAGATATAAACCCCATATGCAGGTGATTTGCAGGTGATAAGGGTATACTGCTAAATAAGTAAGGGAAGTTGACGATTGAAATATAATGTATTTGTTTTTTTTCTTCCATGGACATTCAAATGTATACCTGTAACTCTCCATTTTATTCGTCATAACTGTCCATTCTTAGAAAGAATGGATAGTTTTTCCGAAAGAATGGTATAGGTAACTTAATGGATTGTTCTAGGAGTTAGCACAACAAGTAATAGCAGGCGCGGATCCAGGATTTTTTTCCAGGGGGGGGGGGGTCCACCCAGTCCAAAAAAAATTCCAACCCAGAAATTTCTTGACAAGCAAAAAAAAAAAAAAAAAAACAAAAAAAAACAAAAAAAAAACCTGACGTTAAAAAGACATATTTCGTGGTGGTGAGGTCCAAGTTTTCCAGGGGGGGGGGGGGGTCCAAAGTCACTTTTTATTTGCTTCAGTATATACTTTTAATAACCCTGCAAATTCCAGGGGGGGGGGGTCCGGACCCCCCCCCCCCTCTAGAACCGCGCATGAATAGAATGAACAACACAAACAAAATGTTTGCGTCACAATTACCTTACCACCTATAAGCTCGTCTATGGCACGCCAAATTCACAAGCCTCAGGTGTTTAGAATCATAAACTATTTTTAACAACTCTTAACTATACTAGTACTTCACGAGTGTGAATTATGGTTTATGACGATAAGCTATGATTAACAAATGTGAATCATAGTTTATCTCTCAAAACTACAGTTTATTACGATCATTAATTATTCATGTAGTTTACATGTGTTAAATGAAATACATAAATAACTAGATGAGATCTCGTTGCGAGCAACGAGTGGGTCTTCCGTCCGACTTTTGATAAGATGAGATAAGAATTTGACTGAGATTTTCGTTCAAATATAATGATATAAATAAATTGTTAAGACGAACAATTTTGCTTTAATAATGTTTTACAAAATATTGATCATTAAAGGAATATAGATTAAAGACCTTCGCCCCTTCTTGGCCCCTAATGTGAGAGGTCAGCCCCTTTCTCTTGATATCATTTTAAAGCTCTCATGATTTTGAACACTTTTTGTTCAACAACTAGTCAGAAATTCTTTTTTGTTTTCGGGATATATGCAAAAGAAATATTAAAGGCCGGTCCTTCAAGTCCTAAATGGAGACGTCTAGCAAAAATTGAAAGAGTGCATATTGTTCAGAATATTATTTTGATCGTCTTTTGTTCAATACTGTTTATCAAAATATTCTTCCTTTTCGAGATATATTGAGCCATAGATTATGCAATCTGGCCCCCTAAAGACCCCTTACTGCGTAATATATGATATCAACATCATGTTATTTAGATAAAGTGTGTGAAGATGTACTATTTCGCTTCAGTAATATATTACAAAATATTGATCATTAAAGAGTTATTGATTGTATACTTTCGGCCCCTCTCAGCCCCTTATTTAATGGGTCAGACCCCTTTCCTTGATATCACCTTAAAGCTCTCATGATTTTGAACACTTTTTGTTCAAGAATTATTCAAAAATTCTTTTTCGTTTCCGAGATATATCCGAAGGATATATTTAGGGGCCGGCCCTTCAACTCCTTAATGGGGACGTTTAGCAAAAATCAAAAGGTTGCATATTGTTAAGAACATTATTTTGAATAACTTTTGTTCAATATTGCTTATCAAAATATTTCCCAATTTTGAGATATAAAGCGTCAAAGATTTAGCATTCTGACCCCTTATGGCCCCCTAATTATGTAAATATGATGTGAATATCATAATATATAGTTGTGAATTGTTGAGATAAACATTTTTGCTTCAGTAATGCATTACAAAATATTGATCGTTAAAGAGTTATTATTCAAAGACTTTCGGCCCCTCTCAGCCCCTATTTTGAGGGACCAGTCCCTTTTTTCTTCATATCACTTTAACGCTCTCATGATTTTGAACACTTTTTGTTCAACAACTACTCAGAAATTTTTCTTCGTTTCTGAGATATTTGCAAAGGAAGTATTTAGGGGCCAGCCCTCAACTCCTTAATGGGGACGTTTAGCACAATATGAAAGGTTGCATATTGTTTAGAACATTATTTGGAACATCTTTTATTCAATATTGCTTTTCAAAATATTTCCCACTTTTGAGATATAAAGCGTCAAAGATTTAGCATTCTGACCCCTTAAGGCCCCTAATTATGTAACATATGACATAAATATTACAATATATAGTTGTAAATTGTTGAGATGAACATTTTTGCTTCAATAATGCATTACAAAATATTGATCGTTAAAGAGTTATTGTTCAAAGACTTTTGGCCCCTCGCGGCCCCTATTTTGAGAAGCCAGCCCCTTCTTCTTCACACCACTTTAAAGCTCTCATGATTTTGAACACTTTTTGTTTAACAACTATTCAGAAATTCTTTTTCGTTTCCGAGATATATGCAAAAGATATATTTAGGGGCCAGCCCTTTGACTCCTGAATAGGGACGTTTAGCAGAAATCGAAAGGTTCCATATTGTTTAGAACATTATTTTGAACATCTTTTATTCAATATTGCTTATCAAAATATTTCAAAATTTCGAGATATAGAATGCCAAAGATTTGGCATTCTGGCCCCTTATGGCCCCTAATTATGTAACATATGACATAAATATTATAATATATAGTTGTAAATTGTTAAGATAAACATTTTTGCTTCAGTAATGTATACCAAAATATCGATTGTTAAAGAATTATTTATTTATTACTTTTAGCCCCTCTCGGCCCCTAATTTGATGAGTCAGCCCTTCTTTCTTGATATCCTGTTAAAGATCTTGTCATTCTGCACAAATATCGTTCAGTATGTTTTAACAAAATATTTATACTTTTAATGATATGATACAAAATGTCTCAAAAATTCACTCATGATTCGTGTCCTAAATTTTGACCCCTACCGAGCTTCCATACTAGACACTTCCGGAAAATATCTAAACCCAGGTGCATAATGGCAACATGTCCTCTATCATCACTGAAAATTCCAGCGTTCTAGCTTAAGCCGTTTTTGAGTTCCATCACAGACAAGGAGGTCCTCTGAATTTTATTAAAAGGGCGATAACTTTCGACCGGAAGTGATTTTCAAAAACATTCAGCCGGAATTAACTTCAGATAACCTAGCACCAACCCTGAAAATCTGATGCAAATCCATCAATCCATCTCTGAGAAATCGTCTGCACAAAATTTGTGCAGAAAAAAAGAATAATAACTAGAGCAAAGCTCGTTGCTTGAGCAACAAGCAGGTCTTCCGTCCAATTCTGTGGAGAAAATGAAGAACAGAAATGCAAATGCAGAAATGTAAAAAAAAGAACACAGTTCCGAAGAGCATTCGACTTAAAATGATGTTAGACGTTTTCAGGGACTTTTATCATTCAATTACAAGGAGGTATTAGTAAGAACTCTTTGGAAACTACTTCCTGTTAAACCGGAAGTGACATCGATCGACAAAAAATAAAGTCGGACGTCTGTAATGACTTTAACCATTCAATTTCCTGCCAATGCCTCCAAAAATAAGCCTATTCTGACTACTTCCGGTTTGACCGGAAGTGACGTCGATCGGCGAAAAATGAGTTTGGACGCTTCCGATGACTCAAAACACACAATTACGCGTCCAAAACTTCAAAAATATGCATTTTCTGACTACTTCCTGTTTTACCGGAAGTGACGTCATTAGAGACTTTTGATGGTCCCACCAGCTGCCACTTGTTATTTTGAACAACTTTGCTTCAATAATGTATCACAAATTTTCTCTCGTTTTTGATATACTGAGAAAAAACTTTCGGCCCCTCTAGATCCCTTATTTTAGGGGCCAGCCCCTTTTTGTTGATAT